GACAGACTGACAAACAACCAAACAAACAGACAGACTGACAAACAAACAGACAGACTGACAAACAACCAAACAAACAGACAGACTGACAAACAAACAGACAGACTGACAAACAACCAAACAAACAGACAGACTGACAAGTCAAAATATGCACATATAAAGTAAAAAAATCGTAATGCAATTAGTAATGTTTAATGTCTTGTAAATTTAGTTTTAAGCAAAATTTGGGAACACAAAGAGGGTAAAACAAACTGTAGGTAAACAAACGTATGCAGTCTACTGCATACATTTGTTTATCTACAGAAACAGCTGAAATGATTGAAAATAGTTTAGCAGTGCCATTGTCCATGGATGAGCTATTTTGTATCAAGAAAACATACAATGTTGATGTGTTGTTATACATTTCCGTTTAGATTTTTTGAGTTGTTTGCAGATACAATGAAACTGTGACCTTACCATCAATGCCGAGCTCTTGATGATGCGAACCACCCTGCATGATCCTCAATATTTGTTCTTAGATTAGATTAGATAGAATTGTCATTGTACAGAGCACAATTAAATTACAGTTCAGAACACCCATTCAGAAGAAGACAGAACATAACAAACATAGGAGAACAGGTGCCCTGGGTCATGCAGCCACAGACTCTGCACAGAGCAAGGATCATCTTCATGAAGACATCATGAGGAGGCAAAACCCTTAACAGAAAAACTAAAAACCACACAAGGGAAGATGAGGGGAAAAAACGACAGTCATCTTACATATTTCTTTTTTGTTTTACAGTTAACATCAGTTTTATTATCATATTTCCACTTTAACAGCTCCAAGACCCTGCACTTGTCAATTTCTACCATATTTGTTTACCTACTCTGATTCTGGTCAGTCTAATGTAGGTCAGTCACATAACTCAGTTTTTAACCTGGGTTTTGCTGCTGTGTTTACATTGAGTGCATATTTTAGAATCATATCAATAAACCTGGAAATTCACTTTCAAACAACACAATTTATAAATTACAAAATAATCTATTTTATATTTTGATTTTGTAATTAGAACTTTAATGTTGCTACTACAAGTTGATAATAAATAATTACACCATCTATATTTTTCTCTTAAGAAGCAGATATCTGCCTTTCTGTAATTTAAATGTGTTACTGAACAATGTTCAACACTTAAAGTGTAAACACAAAAAACTAATATA